ATAACAGTTATCAGAACAACTGGAAAGGTAAGAACAGGTATGATCAAAATTTCTGGTACGGTTCATATTTTATTCCTGATCATCCTGTTAATAGTGCTGAAAAGAAAATACCTTATAGAAATAAATDKTTTGGTAATTACAACATACCTCAACCAGATACTAACAAAATAGGACCCAAGTTCGTTTGGGTACCAAAATCTACTTAATCTGGTTTTGCAGGTGTGTTGATATGTGTTGAGAATTCAACACATAATGCATCCGTTTTACGTCTTTCTAGTTAAAATTAGTTGTCTTTCGTTCCCACTTTGAGTCATTTTAATTTATTTCTTTATACTTTTGTTATGGAGCTAAAATATTGTGGTTTTACTTGTTGGGACATTAAAATTTAAGTTAACGGAGAATCTTTTGTAAAACAGCCTAATGTTACAGCACTGCAGCAGCAACCACCTGTTACGTACGCGGTTTGGCAAGGGCTTAACGATTAAGCTGCTGATTTTTGGATGCTGAATGGAAGACAACCAGATGCCAGCTGGAAGATTTTAGTAATCTGGGAATTTTTGGACCAAGGGATTATCTTATGCATAGGATTCCTTTTTGTATTAGTCTTTGGTCATTAACTTATGGGTAATAGTTTTGTTGTTTTATGCAAGACTTTTTGTATAAATAGGGGGGCTTGGCCTCTTTGTAAAGGGCATCTCTTAACATATATTACAACTCAAAATCAGCTAGTAGAGCTGATTTTTGGAGAGTCCTTTGAGAAGTTTTCAAGTTCTTGAGTTTTGAGTTTTTCTTCTTTTGAATTCTCGTCTTTTATTTTCCGTTCTTTACTTTACGCTTCTTTACGTTTATTGTCATTTACATTCCGCAATTTACTTTCTTGTCATTTACATTCCCGCAATTTACTTTCTCGTCATTTATTTTCCCGCAATTTACATTTCCGCTATTTACATTTCCGTCATTTATTTTCTCGTTATTTATTTTTTATGCAATTTACATTTATGTCTTTATTTTTTACTTTCCGTTATGAGTAGCTAAGCTTTTATAGCTTGGGTGTGAGACGGAAAGGTGAGATYTTCAAACCAAACGAAAGTAGCTAAGTGTTTTCGAAAACGACGTTCCATTATTTCATTTGAGTTTTTATAAAACCAAGCACACTTCTTGACGGGTTGATCACTTGAAAGTGTTAAAGTGCGATGGACTTAGAGATAAKCCATCATTAAGCACGTCAACTTGGATGACATAAGATGTAAACTTGAGAAAGTTGCCGACAAGGAGACTTTTCATGTATGTTTTTCAAAACTTAACTCCCGACGGGTTTGGTCACTTGCCAAAAGTGTCAAAGTGTGATAGATTCAGAGATGAACTATCAAGAACACGCCAACTCGAATGATATGGGAATCGACTCGAGAGAGTGATTTTTTTTAACAAAGAGATTTGTTTATCTATATATTTTGAAAACACCATCTTGTCACTATCCCCGGTCCGAACACCACATTGAGATATGGGTGGAAAGCTATAAGATAGTGAAATGGTGAAGTCCGAAAGGAATGCCTTCAAAATAGATGATGAAATTTAGTTTCGAAACACTGCTTGCTGTAGCATTGCTACAGCATTGGCTACTGGAATTTGTGTTTGGGTCTCACCTTAAGTCTTACACCCTTGCTTCTTTT